ACTAATTTGTCTGTAATGATGAACATGATTGCCCGCATGTTAATTTTTACCCCCTCCCTATATAAAAGTAATGGCCCGATGATAATTTATCGAAGGCCTACGTATGCTTGCCAATTAATGTTCTGAATTCTCTGATGGAAATTTGTGCAACTTTAAAATTCCGCACCGTAGAAGTCGTACTTGCAACTGGGTTAGCTGTTTAGACGAGACGTTATGGACCAAGCCTGAGCTTCCTATGCTTGCCAGTTTGCACGGACTCACTTTCCGCTCCAATTTCTCCTCCTTATAGCTTGCCTGCGATGTTCCAACTCTGCGCTTTTCTTCCCAAGATATGCCGCGATCGAATCATCTCAAACATGGACATGCCTCCTGCTGTTGTGCTTCATCTAAGCCAAGTGTGATTTAACTCCCGGCTCCCAGTGGGGGCTTCGTAGTTCAGTTGGCCAGACCGTTGGCTGTACTTAAGGCTTCCCCTACCTGACGCGGGTTCGAATTCCACCGAGTCCAATGAGTTTCTCACAACTGAACCAAATAAATCATTAAAATCCCTATTAATCTTAGTCTCATATTTTTGTAGACGCCAATAGCAGTCGTCGATCAGAATTGCCTTCGTCTACTTGATAAAGCACCTCATAGATCTGCCTATATCCTTGTTGACAGTAGTCTTATATCCTAGGCATCATGACTTCAGTCCATCCTAGAGACCCCTATGTAGAAAACAGAACTGTTCGTATGTTGCTGCCCCTCGTGTGCAGAATATCGCCAAACTGCAATCTGTCCGAAGCGTATTGCGCCCGAATTGTTCACGAATGTGTGCGAAGATTCGAGTTCGAGTGTGTCTTATCCTATGCGTAAACTGTCCTTGTAACTTTACAGGCTAGAGTAAGCGAATGCGCAGATGGCCCAAACATGAAAATAACCTAGTTGTCGATGAGCGACGAATTCAGAAGTAGGCGTTAAGTTCACTGAGACAAGAAGTTTATTTGTCTAACGTTTCGGATTCGGTCGAGATCCCTTCATTAGAAGTAATCGTGGAATAGGATGATACATGCACAGATAACGGCGGCTAATTTTTTGAAATGGCTGCCACGAATACGAAGCCGACTCTGAGTTCGGCCTCAGAACCCTCAGGTTATTCACCCACACCAGAAACAAGATGAGCCCAGAATTGATGCAAACTTGATCCTACGATGGGAACTCGATCGATCAAGGTGTCTGTCCGTGCTGGCATACAGAGTCTGCTACCTGGAGACATGCAACACTGATTGGCTTACACCTATTATAAGCGAAACCATTTTTCTGCTGCTACTACTATTTCTGACGATGGACTTCCGCACAAGTTTGAAAGCTGAGAATAATAAAAAAAATTGCTCCATTGCTCGACTAGAAGTCTTCTGTACTCACAGTTATTAGACTTTTTGCATCAATCACATTATCTACCAAAAGGTTTTTTAAAGTTAACAGAGCAATTGGATGCATAATTTGGCCAGGCCTACCTAGTTTCCCGTTGATAAGAAGACCGTCGATTGCGTGATGTTTGAGAAAAATAGTCTGACAAGGAATAGGAGGAAGAAAATGCATTTTCTCAGTATTTTAACTAAATACAAATAAACGCTTTTTGTAGAACCGA